GAATGGTGTATGGGTGTTTTTTTGACTCCCTTGCGCATGAAAGAGCGATACGTGAAACTTTTTGGACTCTTTCAAGTTCATCGATTTGCGACTTCTTGTATGGGGACCAAACGGGTGAGCAGTATTCTAGAATTGGCCTCACATACAAGTTGTAGAGACGAAATAGTAAAACCGGGTCCCGCATTTGAAAAGCTCTCAAAATAAAGTTTGCCCTCGCGCTTGCTTTAGCAACTAAGCCGTGTATAAATGTGTCGAAGTCGAGCTTGTCGCTATATACAACGCCTAAGTCTCGAATTTGACTGACACGAGCAAGTTGTTTGCCATACATGGTGAATGTTGTGTTCGGATGGTTTTTCCCTAGTCCCATGATGGCAGTTTTTTGTATGGAAATTTCCAGATTCCACTTTTCAGACCATGTGCTCACACAGTTTATCGCCTCCTGAAGTTTACCACAGTCGTTAACGGTAAATATTTTTGAGTCGTCAGCATACAGACTGCAGTATGCGCCTAGAGGGACGGCATCAAACAAGTCATTTACGTACAAAATAAACATAAGGGGTCCAATACATGTGCCCTGAGGCACTCCACTAGGAGTTGGATAGTAGTGGGACCGCGCTTGGTTTATAACCACTGCCTGAACTCTATTACTGAGAAAAGCACGCAGAAACAACAATCTGCCTTGATCCCGGTAGCTCCTAACTTTTCTCATACCAATCAGAGATTAATCAAGCTTTTACATAACCAATGTACATACTGATACTAATTCCCATTGCTAACTCTCTCTGGTGTCCAGAAGTGCCGTAGATAAAGTCTGACCCTTGGTGGCTTACGCTAGGAAACCAATCGTTCTTGGGGTTGAGTAACCTTTTTTCATTCAGAAAACTGGTGATTTTTTTGCAGACAATGCGCTCCATGACTTTGCTAATGGAGCTAGTAAGGCATATTGGTCTGTAGTTTGTGACGTTCCTTTTACACCCTTTCTTGAAGATCGGTCTAACTAATCCTACCCTCCATAGCTTAGGCACATCTCCGTGGAGTAAGATCCTGTTGAACAAAATAGTTAGAGGCGCTGCGATGCCAAGGGCAGTTTTCTTGAGGAAATTAAAGGCACATCATCTGAGTGGTACTTATGGATTGCGCAGGAACCATAACAGTCGCGGTCAATTTTATATGCCACCCCCTAATTTTTTCAGTTTTCCGACTTATTTGGAAATTTCGTAAATCGGCATAGCAACCATCGGTTTCGGCGTGTCGGAAAACTAGGAACGGTGTTGTTTGATTTTGGTTAACGCGTGGATTTGATTTGCTCTGTTCTTTTGAAGAAAATGGGCCGCGTCAAATGCTTATGCCATCCTAAATTTTCTTCAGAATTTCTCATGTCTCTAACGCTATTCAGCTATGGTCATTAACACAAATGAAAAATCCTCGACTCGGCAATGCATCACAATGTGCAGCATTTTATAACGATATTGAATATTACCTTTCATACTGGACGGTACGACATAAAACGCTTTAATCAGAAAAGTTTCTTGTCTCACTCTTTGGATCGGGGCTCTGCTCTTATTGCGCAGAAACTTTATCGATGAGTTATGCACAAAACTGAAAAATTTAAGTGCTCAGGGCCTTAAATTCTCATTTTTCCCGCTTCGAATCCGTGGTCAACTTTATTTGTGGTCTCGGCTCCCGCGAAGCTCGAAGCGTTCACGCTCACAAAGTCTCTGTTCAGAGAGAATATGAGTTGCACTCACAATCCGCGTAGTACCCATCGCCGAACTTTGTCGGATTCTCTCTGGAAAAATTTTCGTACCGAGCGATAGCGAAAATGATGACATGGGCCAGTTGTAACTTGAACGGGACACCGAAGTGGTGGCATGGGCCATCATTGCATCGCCTTGATAAGAAAACTTCGATCGAGTTCAGTGATGGTCTACCGCGATTGGAGTGCAATTCATATCTCATCTGACAGAAGACTGTACGTGAAACGCTTCGAGTCGCGGAGCCGAGACCCACAAATGAAAACCATGATGCGGGAAAAATGTGAATTAAGGCTCCTTGAGCACTTCAAATTTCCCCAGTTTTGCCTGGATACACTCCTCGATGAGTTCTACAATAAGCAGCAGGAGCGATCGCAAGAGTGAGCACACAGCACTTTCTCTGATAAAGCGTTTTCATGCCGCTACCGTCCAGTAAAGGCTAATATTCCGAACTAATCAGTTATAAATGCTTCACCATTTGTGTGCATTGCATGAGTCGAGGATTTCCTCATTTGTATTACATGCACACCATAGCTGAATAGCGTTAGAGACATGAGAAATTCTGAAGAAAATTTAGGATGGCATAAGCATTTGACGCGGCCCATTTTCTTCAAAAGAACAGAGCAAATCAAATCCACGCGTTAACCAAAATCAAACAACACCGTTCCTAGTTTTCCGACACGCCGAAACCGATGGTTGCTATGCCGATTTACGAAATTTCCAAATAAGTCGGAAAACTGAAAAAATTAGGGGGTGGCATATAAAATTGACGCGCACTGTATACATTGGTGGATATGTCTACCCAGTCCAAAGAATCTGGAGACCTAGTAGACAGTCTTGCATCAGAGGAGCAAGGTTTTTATAGACAGACTGAAAGTAGTTAGCAAAAAGATTGGCTTTACCCAAGTCATCTTCGACCAAGGATCCATCCGGCGAAATCATATTAGGTATGCTTTCCGATAGTTTCAACTTTTTCTTACAGTATTTGAAGAAAAGCTTATTATTTTTTGATAACGCTACTTTCTTCTCCACCTTCAGTTAATGCCTCAAGAGTGCACGTGATCTTTCTATGTCTGAGCTTGGGATGTTCAAGTGAGAGGGAGTGGATACGTTTGACTTTGGCTACTAGAAAGCTAACTCGTCTTGGATATCTTACAGGGTTTCTTCGACAATGCGCGAGTGGCACATGATTATCAATTAATTGCTTACATATTGCAATGAATTTAGTATAAAATGCGTCTGAGTCTTTGGATGCACAGGATAGTGCAATCCATAATCTCCTTTTGAGAAGCACCTGAATGATTTAATTGCGCGGGTGTGAGCAAGGGGGGTGTCGAGAAGGTTAAATCCGATGCAGTTATGATCAGAGGTGCTAAACGGTGGAAGAACACGGAGACTCTCAATTATTTCAGGCTCGGAAACCAATATGATATCTAAGGTGTTGAGTCCATGCGTGGGAAACTTAACCAGTTGTTCAAGCTTGAATGATTTAGCAAATGAAAGGAAGGAGTTTGACAGCGGCGAGGAGATATTCCCCCTAAGGGTCATGCTATTCCAGTCAATCAAAGGAAAGTTGAAGTCCCCTAGAAGAATAATACGGTCATCCCACTCAGGGAATGAGTATACCTCTTTTGTCTAGGCCTAACTTTTTAACAAGTGAGAGGGATGATTTGTCAGATGATGTCAAAACCGACCTACCTCTTTTTGTCTTTTCTCTTTTTCGACTCAAAAAATTCCCTTTAATCGTACGAGGTTTCCACTCATACTGGTAAATGGGAAAGTGCTAATGAGTCATTCGATGAATATGCTGTTTCACTCCCCGGATTCTGAATTAAAATATTGGTGGTCCGAAACTCGTGGTGAAAAAACGACACCAAGATATCCGGTACCTTTGGAGCTTCCCATTATGCACAATTAGGTTTTCATAGTGGTGCCTTTTATCAAAAAACTGTCTAAGATTGTGGCACCTTGGATTGTGGGAGGCAATTCATATGCGCAAAACAGTAGTCAAAGAACTAATGGCTGCGCCACACTCCTAAATAAGTTGTGATGTCATGTCGTCCCATGTTAATTCTTCGCTGCGCTGTCGTTAGATCAGTAGCCCTTTGCATTTGAGCGGTAACTGTATAGAGGCTATAGCTTCCAGATTTGTATTTGATTATCCTTTGCAGCTGACTAGATTGTATGACAATGTGGGTGGACTCTGTCGTCACAGGGACGTCACAAGTCGCCCAAAATCTCCGTTTTCGCCTGCCGCGGAAAGAACGCTGTACATGTACATTTCGTGGAAACTCAGTGGCGGCTAGGAAGGCACAAGTGGACAACCACAATATGTAATATTATACTATTTATGAGAGTCCATCAAACAAACTACCACATAACTTCTCGGGACGGCCACTGTCTGCTTTGTGCGAGCCAAAATATCCTGGAAGGCATTGCGCTTTGTGGTGCACAGCGGTGATCTTCGAGTCTTTTTTCGCAGGCTTTTCTCTCGATTCTCGTCTTTTCGAGGATGCTTTGTTTTGTTAGAGAAGGTCATTAGTGTTCAGTTCTAACACAGACGAGTGCACACTGCGAATCTCAAAAATCACCGCAAGACCTAGTTAACTCACGTTACTCTAATCGACCTCACCAGCGCAAAGCTCTGCTGTATTACTTGTGCACGATGCTTTGGTTGTAATATTCTGATTCAAGAGGGATCGTGCTGGCCAGATGCATCTGTGGTAAATCAACAGTCTCAGCAGCGATTTAACTTAACTAATGGTGTAGAATAATGCGTTAGCCTTAGTCAAGAACATAAGAAGTGTGAGTGAACAAAAAACACACTTGCTAGAAAGTTGAAAATTGCTAGAAAGAGAGCTGAACGGCTTCGAAGGGGTGTGGTTGGAATCGGCCGAGGGGACTGCGCAACCATACGCCCACTTCGAGCTGCTCAGCTCCCTTTCTGGCGTCCAAATTGCTCAAATCCAATTCCAAAGTGGGTTTTTGGTTCTGTCACACTTCTTATGTGCTTGATTAGGGCAAGCGCATCGCTCCACACCAATAAATCGAAAGTAGTCAACACCCAACCTGCTGCATCACGGCCCGGCCTTTGTGTTTGGAGGAGTTCTTTTTTGCTGTAAGTTTTTGCCCACCCTGCAATTGTGCGCCATAGATATGTCAACATACCAGCAAGTAATAGCGCCACAGAGACGTGGTTGGGAATAAAACACGATCTACACGTGTTAGCTTCGCATTGTAAAATACCATATCCGCAAGATCTCGTGATTCGCGTATTTCAGCTTCGGAGTTTCGGTACGCTTCGACGGCAGCATGCGACATCTCGTATTTTTGCGGACAAAAACTAGTTTAGGACAGAATAGAAAATTCAAGATATCCACTTATATCCTTGCATCGAGGTTGTATCGTTTGTATCCAGCGGCAGGTAATTCTGTACTGCAGATCCCACAATTGACGACGGGCTCCTTATTAATATGAATGCCAGTGCTTTATAGTGATAGCTGATAGTTGATTAATGACAGTCGTAACTAGGCTTTGATTACAACAACTACAACTGCAACAGGCTGCTTGTTTTGTTGGCAGAAAATTATTACATGTTATGGAGGCCGTCGTCACTTGTGGTGCGTTGCTTGCATTCGACGAGCATCTAATTTTCGAAAGCGGAGGATATTGATCTTAAGCGGTGAGCGGTCATAGACCAGGCAGTCATCGCTCGAAAGGGGCTGTGGGCGTTATCGCGGGGCCGTTCCGAGACAGAAGCCTGGCGTGGCGCGTCTTGTTTTAGTCTCTGCTACATTAGTGATAGAAGGTGTTTCTTTGACCGCCTTGCCCATACACGCTTTTGAATCCCCAGTCTGCGATCCGCTGTAGCGAGCCTTTCGGTGCGAAAGATGAGGTTCGGGTTTGAACCGCGAGGCATTCGCGTGGCAGCAGCGCTGACTACCATCTCGTACATCTAAGAACTAGCATCTTTTGCTAGGTAAACGGATGTGCGCAGGATAAAAAGGAGCCGTGTCGAAGCCCCGTTAAGGGGCTGCTGGCGGGGGGGGGGGTAAAGACGCGGCCAATTCCTCAACACTGTTCAGAGTGCTCCATTGTGAAGGGAGTGGGCGTAGGGTGAGGTTGTGAAAAAGTGAACTGGGCATCTTCGCAGAGACGCGATAAAGTCAACAATATTTGGCAGCAACGATGATGGTATGTGCGGCGCTCTGACGGAGAACAACCCGGTCCAGCGTATCTATTGCGAACCGCGAAATAGGGCGTGAATTGGGTGAAAAAATAGGAGAAGGAGTGAAACCACTTCGGGGTAGTGATGAATGAATGCAGATATGCATGTGTGGCTTCTGTAGGATGTTGTGTCCCCTACGCACGGTACTCGCAGGGAGTGACCCCGGTTTCCAGCAATACAACGACCCAAACATCGACCACAACAACAACTGACGACAACGTCGTCAGTGAGTATGCTTAAAGTAATGGTTTGCTTCATTTCCTGATCTATCTGTTATTTCATTTTCAATATCTTGAGTACAGGATGAGCATATATTTTATCGATCACATGATCATGTTTCTCTAGGCTCGAAAGAATGTAAGCGTAAGGCGGCGGAGGAGTTAGATCGTTGATAAGGAGCTGCTGTATATAAGCATGGCGATGGAACATCGAGGGTTGTTGTTGGCTCAGAGCTACCGCAGTTCCGATCGAGGAACGTCTTCTCCGCGTTTACTGTATTCCTCCCAAGTTGCAGACACGTTACTTCTTCAGATATCTTTTGTAAAATTCACTGTATAACCTTTTTCTATATCCGACAGTTATTCTCGGACGATTTGGATTAGTATACTGATTTAATAAATGTTAGTTTTTACTCAAGTCCATTCGAGTAGAAGTGAACTTAACTTTGGTGCATTGGCCAATTGGTTCAAGTGGAAGAAAACTTCTTAGTCAATTGGAAACTTATTCAGGTCAGTTCAACTTAACTTTGCAGACGCTTTAAGAACTGTATCACCTTAGAAGGCCTTGCTTAGTGCTTCCTGGTCGCTTGGCTTTAGTCCAGTTTGAGCTTGGAAGTCATTTTTTCTTCCTTTCTCTGGTTGGCGTCTCGCGTACTTGTTTTTTCACAAGGGTGACTCATTGATTTCTTGAACGCGTAGATGGCAACACAGCTCTCCTCCCACAAACGTAGGCTGACTAATCATTGCAACAAGCTAGAAACGGCAATTTCGCGTTTCAAAAGTGAGAAATTGGAAAACTCTCCAGAGAAATCGTACCCCAGGTTATGAAAAAGGATATGGTAAACGTATAAAGGAAGCCTTAGAAGCTATTGAAGCTTGCTCGTCTATAGAAGAACAATTATTGGAGGAACATGCGCGTGCTGGACAGGATAGAAAATGTCCCCAAAGTAGAAATCGACGACTCTGAGGCATATGCCAACAAAGCCAAAGGAGCTCTAAGTTCAGCGCTAGATTATACCGTTATTCTACAAGGTCTTTTGAAGAGCATGCACAACAACTGATTAAGACAGAGTCCTACCTCCACGCATAGATACAGCAACTGCTGGTGGGGTGATAGGAACTCAACCGGTGGCGTCACCCACATTGCCCATCCCAGTTTTTACAGGCAATATGTGGGACTGGGATAACTTTTGAGTTTTTTTCGAAGCTACTGTGCATACCCAACCCATTCCAACGCTTTATAAATTAATCATTTATTGAACGCGTTAAAAGGGAAGGCACTAAATGCTATTCGAAAATTTCGAATCACTGAAGAAAATTATGAGAAGGCTATTCTGTTTTTTCAGACCAAATATCTTCTTCAAAAGCTCGAAAGGAGCTGCACAAAGCAAGAGAGGAACATAGAGAGGTCATGACAATTGGCGCTCAGACAGATGGAACGAGGCAGACCTAGAGACCATGGAACACGAGCGAGGAAGAAAAGGGAGGAGGAAGCAGAAAGGAGGCCAAGAGACTACTGTCCATTTGGCGGAGGGAGTGACGACAACGTCGTCAGTGAGTTTGCTTAAAGTAATGGTTGTTTCATTTTCTGATCACCTGTATCACCTGTCGTCCCGTTGATCATCGATTTGCTCGAGCGGGCGCCAGCAACGTCTCCATTCGTCCCTGTCGCGTGCTAGAGTGGTCCAGTGGATCCTCCTCGCTCGAGGGACACGAAGTCCTTCATTCCTTTCGTTCAGAGCTTTCGTGAAGAAGTCTGACCATCGGGCCGGCGGTCGTCCAGGTGTTCGTTTGACGTCCCGAGGGATCCAGTCGGTAACCGCTCTGGTCCAACGGTCATCGCAAAATCGCATGACGTGTCCGGCCCACCTTATCTTCGATTCCTTGGCGAAAACGGCAGCGTCCCTGATCTTCGATCGTTGGCGTAGTTCCGGATTCCCCTCTGCACTTGCGTGTATAGGGTTACTCCTAGCATCGTCCTCTCGACAGCGCGTTGGATAACGCTGACCGCATGCTCGTCCTGCCTGCGCAGAGTCCAAGTCTCTGAGGCGTAGGTTAGGGCAGGAAGGACAGCGGAATCGAAGAGGTGGGCACGGAGCCGGATGTTCTTCGTCTTCTTCACTACTCCCTCGATGTTCTTGTACGCTCCCCATGCCGCTCGTTTCCTCCTGCTCAGCTCTGGAGCTAGATCGTTCATCATATTGAGTGATGTTCGTTCCGTTGAGCGTGAATGGGGCATCAGGAACCAATCCGTTTCTCATAAACATCGTCTTCGTTAGGTTCAGCTGCAGACCAACCTTACCACAGGCGCAGTCGAAATCAGCCAGCATTCGCTCCGCTTGCTCGATGTTCGGCGTTATAAGAACGATGTCGTCAGCAAAACGAAGGTGGTGTAGTTGCCGGCCGTCGACCTTCACTCCCATGTCTTCCCATTCCAGTTGACGCATGACGTTCTCGAGAGCGGCGCTGAAGAGTTTGGGCGAGATGGTGTCGCCCTGTCGAACCCCTCTCTTGACGTCGATGATGACCTCCTTGTAGAATGGTGAGATTCTGGTCGTAAAGTTGCTGTAGAGCTCACGAAGAATCTTGATGTACTGAGTAGGGACGCCCTGGTTGCCCAAGGCTTCGATGACCGCTTCTGTCTCCACAGAGTCGAAGGCCTTCTTCAAGTCGATGAACGTGAGACAAAGCGGCATCTTGTACTCTCGTGAAACTTCAATGAGTCTCGTAACCGTGTGGATATGGTCCCCCTTCCTGTACAGCAACAAGGTCCTCCTGGTTTTCCACGGAGTGGGTCCCTTGCATTCCGACATTTCAGGTAGCGTTCCGACATTTCTGCCAGGTAGCGCGTGAAGAGTCGAGCCAGAGTTTTGATGATAACTGGCGGTGCGTTCTTCAGACCGGGTGCTGTACAATTCTTCACCGACTTGATGGCGTGTCGGACTTCGGAAGAGAGAACTGAGGGACGACGTATCCATCCTGTTGCAGTTGATAAGTAGGCAGATGGACATGGCTATCGAAGAGATCCGAGTAGAAGTCGTGGATGACTTTCTCCATTGCCCTTCGGGATGCAGTAACTGTTCCATCCGGACGTCGGAGGCAGGTCATCTTGGTCTTTCCATGGCTAGCACGTTGGAACGGACCATCGTCTCCTCCGCGCAAGATTCCACTTCTCGATGCGTGTTGAGAGAGCAGCAAAGTTCAGGAAGCGAAGTCCCAGGACAGTCATCAACTGGGACCACTTCGCTTCCCTCGTCAGCTTATGGGAGGATTCCGTCATCGAAAACATCGACGAGGAGTACTATCGGCTCGTTGAACATCTTCACGATTGTGGCAAGAAGGCAGAGAGTTTGAAAGTCACCAAGGGACGTCTGTCTCCGGAAACTCTCGAACTGATACGCCAGCGTGGAGCCGCACGAGCTGCAGGCAATCACCAACTCACGTCCGAGCTTGCAAAGCTATGCAGAGAGGCGATAAAGGAAGATCTCAAGGAGCGAAGAGCAGCAGTATTAGCTAACTAAAAACTATTTAATAATCAGTATAATTATATACGAAATCGTCCGAGAATAACTGTCGGATATAGAAAAAGGTTATACAGTGAATTTTACAAAAGATATCTGAAGAAGTAACGTGTCTGCAACTTGGGAGGAATACAGTAAACGCGGAGAAGACGTTCCTCGATCGGAACTACGGTAGCTCTGAGCCAACAACAACCCTCGATGTTCCATTGCCATGCTTATATACAGCGCTCCTTATCGACGATCTAACTCCTCCGCCCGCCTTACGCTTACATTCTTTCGAGCCTAGAGAAACATGATCATGTGATCGATAAAATATATGCGCATCCTGTACTCAAGATATTGAAAATGAAATAA